GACTCTCTGAATGTATTTCAATTTATTTTAATTCTTTGTTTTTAATTGATTCTGAAAGAGGGGTGACACAGTTGATGTAACCACCTTTTAAAAATACAAGCTAAATGGGGACAAGCTAAGCTTGCTTTAAAATACAAATCATATTCATGATTTGTTTCCAGACTGCAGAGAAGGACGGACAGTTCCCCAGTTTCCAAATGTTGCTTTATCAACAGCAGTTTGTGATTCAGGAGCCAAACACACTCACTCAAAATAAACCAACAGTGGAATATTGAACAGTTCCCTGGGCAAGAAAAACTGGGTTAAAGCAGCCGCGCGGCTCCAGCTGCTTTGGGAGGGCAGCCTGGCGTTTGGCAGGAAAGGGCAGCCTATAAAGATGACTGTCGTCTTCCACACACTGCCTCTCCGCAAAAACCCAAGTGGCTTAGCACATTTCACTGCCCCAACTCCTTTATTCTTGTCATCCTTGCCCATTCTAAATCAATGAAAAGAGTTTTATTTTTCCTTAATTGAAGGTTCCTTGCTATCCTTTATGCGGGGGAGGGATGCTAAGAGCAGGTATGACATCTCTCTAAAACGGCTTATAACCAACCAGAATATAGATTTATTATAACTTGTCAGTTATTCAAGCTAAGTAAAGTCTTGAACAGTTATGGAGTAAAGGGAGAGAAAGAATCTCAATGCTTAAGTATAAATTCAATATAGATTAAATAACATATTATATATGCTGATGTTTTCTTTTCATCTCCATACTTACATAAGATTAAAATTTAAATTCGACTGACTACCAAGATTAGATGAATCAGTGAAAATGCTGCTATTCTTAGTTTTGTGCTAGTATGATACATACAAAGCAGGAAAAAATATTCTCTCTGCATCAATGCAGCTTTTTTTAGAAAGGTTAACCCTCCATGGGTAAGTTGTAGTTCTTCTGTTTGAAGAATATTTTTTAAAATTGCTTTTGATTTTATTTGATTTTTTTTTTGTATTCTGGAGTTGTAGTAACTTATGGCAGAATAGAAGCCATATTCTATTAAATATTTTTGCTGCAAGTCTTGTAATACTGTACATTTGTACAGTAAACCAGAGAGTTTGAATATGTGGCAGAAGTTTGGTCCATTTTATTTTAGCTGGAAAAGCTCCCAGTGTGACTAACTGGGGTTTACAATGTGCAGGGCACACCAAAACCGCGTGTCCTTATGGTGTGTGCTGCCACCATGGTCGGTATTTGCACCGACTGTGCCGGGCAGAGTTCCCTGTTGCAGGTTTTCCAGGGAAAGGGGCTATTCCGGAGCTCGCTCAGGCTGCTGAGAGCCCATGGCTGCTCCCTTGGCTGCCATCCCTGTGCTGCTTCCCTGGTACATTATATAAACTCAGGTACATTATAAAAGTGCACATGAAACATACTGCAGGAACAGCACCAGGGTGTGGAAAATGGTGTGTTTGCTTTGCAGCTAAATCAGTATACCCAAGAGGTTATAAACAGGGTATAGCCAACAGGATCCAGGCAACACCAAGTCAAATAAGACATGCAGTGCAGCAAACTGCACAAAACACAAGACAAGGGCATGCCGAGCTGACTTACTCTTTTGAAAACAAACAAGCAAGCAAACCAGAATAAAAACTCTGAAAACTCCAAAATGACTATTATCAGGGCATCCACACACTCCCGATAGTCTGTCATAGTATCCCAAATAAAAAAACCTGAAACATAAAACCTGTTCATTTCGTGTGACTGACACAGATTTATTCGGCTAATAAAGCATTCCAAAGTAAGTTCTTATTGGTTGCAGTAAACCAGCTGCACCAGAGCAATGAGACATGTAGAGCTAATTTCACCAATACATGATATCTTGCAAGATTTACTAGATGTTTCACTGTGGACTGAGGTTGAGTTACTGTAAAATATTGTCATAAATCTTGTAACATCTTATGGGAATTCTTGTGTTAAATTTAAAATTATCTGTTTTCTTTCCTCTTGCTTGACCATTTTAGCTCAGTTGCCTATTTTCTGAGGTTTTGTTGTTTATTCTTTGCCAAGTGCCAGCTCCAAGGTAAGAAGCATAAATGTGTTATGGTTGTACTGTTTTCCAAGGAAATGATAGAAGGGAAAAGGGAAGAGGGCATCACTGCACTCACAGTAGGGCATTTCATTGCACTCATTAGATAAAAATCTGCTGTAGAGAAAAGGACAGGCAAGAGCAACAAATATAGTCTGAAGCAGAAATCCCCCCATACAAACTCCATTACTGATTTTAGTTAGCAATACTGTTTTTCAAAGATGATAATGTTAAGATATTTTGGTTTTGCCTTCTATCTTTTATTACCCTTTTCCTATCTGGCAGGTATTGGGTATACTGCTGGTTTTGCAGTTGACTCATACCACCTTTGTGCCAAATGGCTTTCGGTCCTGTTAGAAAACAGATCCTCAGTTTACTCTGATAGTAATTTTGTTGAACTATTGGAGATACTTTGGAGCCAGGGACACATGTTTCACAGCTCTGTAAGATACCTAGAGGAAAGAAAGGCTTGTTTGTGGTGTTTTAACTACCAGATGCTTTTTTTCTGGTTGAAATTAATGTTCTTTTCGTCAAAATATCCAGGCATTCCTTTGCTAGATCTATCCAGAGAAACTATGTCTCTGGCCCCACAAAGGGCCCAGTGACGGGTACACATCTCCTTAGACAGCTCAAGCACCCAAGGCTCCCTAGGTCTTACCAGCTGAAGAACAAAAAGGCATATCCTGAGGGAATTAGAACAGATTTCAAGAGCAAATCAAAGGGATAACTCTCAGAACATTGCACCTTGAGACCTTCAAAGGTAGGCAAGATAAATCCCACCCAAATCCCACCATATTCCACTGTGGAACCTGACACACTGGCAAAAGGAAAGGTTTCTATAAGCAATTTAGTTTTTTATAGTCCTCCTTGTTTTCCTTTTCTTCCTTCTGTTCCAAAAAGGCAGATGTGACACAGAACCGAAGTTTACATTTCTATGAGTCATATGATATATTAAAGAAATAATAGTTTGGCATAAATAGATAGAAATAAGAAGCGAAACTAAAAATCAGCAGAACAGATATATTTCAGTTTGCCAAACTGTTTAATCTCTTCATTTCCCTGGTACTGGAGGCAAGTCTGAGGGAGAATCTACTATGAGCAATATCGTAATTGCCTCTCACAGAGGAAAAATAATGCTGACTTCAACAGGATGTGGGTGTCGATAACCATCTTGCAAAGAAAGGAATTTGAGGATCTCTCGTCATTGTCCTCAGTAAAAGTTTTCTTTTTTCCCCTGTGTTTTTCATGTTTCTTTTTTTCACTTATATCATGTGCTGTCAAATACCTAATTCTTACTGGTGAATGGCATTTTTAAAGAAAAGTATGAGTATTTTAGGAGCAGGAGAGCCCTATCAGTTTCCATAAATTCATACCAGCAATGAACAAGTAGGACAGATCTAAAAGTGTGTTCATGGATAATGGTCATGAAGGCCGACTAATGCTAAACCACAGCTACTCTACCGGGTGTTATTAGAACAAAACAAATAGAAAGGTTTGCATAAGAATTGTGTAAATAACTATTTCCATCTTCCAAAGCATTAGTTCCAATTGTTTCTGTAATTTATGGAAACTAGTATAGAACTGTAAACTCTCCTCCTTTTTAAAACTATATAATGGAACTGCAATGCATTACCAAAAGTGAAGCTGTAGTAAGCAATCAAAATTAGAGATTCATCAGAGCTGCATAAACCATTAAGAGATAAAATTAGCGTGCACCCATCTATTGTTAGCAGGTTAAGAGATACGTTATTTCAGAGAGCAAGAATCATTCATAGTCTGGTAACAAGACGGTAATAGTAAAAAACCAGCACCCTCATTTGCCAGGATGCCTAGCAAGGCAGGAGGTTCTATACAGCAACAGAATTGTAAGGATGAATAAACAGCAATAAAGCTGGCTTGTACTGCATGGAAGCTTGCAGATGGCTCATGAATTCATGTCTGCCACGTTTCTGTAAAACATTGACTTTTACATATTGCTGCCAGATGGAATACACTTTCTTTGTATCTTGAATATAAATCTCCAAGAAATACAACTTTCTTCAATGTGTTCTCAGTATTTGAAACAAAAGCAAATTTGGAGGCTTAGGAGGCTAAAGCAGATTTAAGAAATCTGAGAGAATATAAATTCAGTCCTCAAGAGCTTCCTTGTTATAACTCAGTTTAAAATATTGGAGATATCCCATGTGTTCTGCACTTTTTGAGAAAGCAGGAGAGACATCTGACTGAGCTCTAAAGGAAAACCCTCATGCAATCTACCAAAGGCAAAAATACACCGTAAGTGGGTTTGGAAAAGTTTTCGGTTGAACTGACTTGTAGTTTGGCAAAACTTTGTCATAACATTTACACTTGCTTCAGCACAAATTATATCTATCCCACAGATGAAATCATACAGAGCGTGAAGTGTAAATGAGCTTAATCTTTGCTGAACGTCTGTATTTATACCACAGAAGCCTCTTGTGTTTCATTTCTCCTTTTTTACAATGATACCTAAACAGACCTAATAGCTAATATACCGAATTCAGTTCTTATTAGAAAACACTTTATAAAAAGGTGTTTTTCTCTCTCTCTTACTTTCTCTATTTTTTTGACTATAAATGAACTAGAATGAACTACAGAATACCCTTTTGCTTTGTAATTGCTGACCCATCACACCTGACTTTCTCCTATCTGGTCCTGATTCCCAACCCAGGATGGTAATTGCTAAAAAGCATATATTTTTCATAGTGATGAATTGAACTACATGCCTGTAGGGGAGAATGTTTTCTCGTTCAGTGATTTCTCACAGTCTGATTTGATGACAAACTTGAGTTGACTCCTCTCAGGCAGCCTCAAGCGTTGTTTATATGCAGATAATTCTGTGTTTGAACCCATTAGGCTTTTACAACAGTTGTAATCAAACGTGACTGGGAAACCTTCTGGCTTACTTGGATCCATACTTACATTGTGCTTTGTGAGGTTGGAAATGTTAGTTGCTATTGCTTGTAGCCAGTCAATACAGTCTTCAGCAGAGAGACACTGAATTATTCCACTGCAAACCCCATCCACAGCAATTACTTGGAACGCATTTTGCCTATAGACATGTCATAACAGATCAGGTCAGAAGAAAATTTCATCTGTTCTAACATAGCATCTTAACAATGCTTGTAGAAAAGCTTTTCTTTCAATTACAATGAAGGTTAGCCACTGAACATTGATAAATTGCTGTTTTTCCTGCTTTATAAATATCTGACATATTAAAATAACCATGCTAAAAGGTCAGTTCAGAGTATATTAAGTCTCTACAGATGGTACAGCTATAAAAAATATAGAATAGCGCCATGGCACCTTAGCCAACTGTATGTTACATCAAAGCTAAACAAGAGAAATGATGGATACACACAAAGAGTTAACACTCAGTTTAATGCTATTGCTGCAGATCAAAGGGAAGCAAAACAGACACTGGACACTGTAGACAACCTTTCATGAAATTCTGTGGAACACACTTTTTCTCAACAACCTTGTTTCATTTTTCTAAGATATTGTTTAAATGCAGTAAGATCACTATCTGAATATCCCTTACTGGCTTCTTTTGGTTATAGTGTTTTGGTTGTAAATAATACTCTCTAAAATGCTCAAGGAAAGGCTGGAGAATTAATAATTGACCAGAGAGCATTCATGATTTCTCCCATTACATTTATGGATATGGGATGATTAGCAGAATGCAGTGGAATTGCAATGGAATCCATGGACAGAAGCAGTGGCTATCCAGGTGCCTCTACCCGTTGCCATTCTGGGCACTCACACACATTCTGCTTTATAGACTTGCTTGGCACAGCCAAGTGCCGAGCCATTACAAAACAAGAGAAAACTTTCAGGTGCCAAACCAGCACCAGACCTCATTTCCTCAGCAAATAGCCTTTTTGGCTAACAGCCTTTGGCTAACAGCCTCATGTGTTTGGCTTCAGAACTCAGCAGCTCCATAGAATTCAGAGCTCCATATTCACAGTTGAAAATTAGACACACACCATTCAGATTCTTCAAGAATGGCTCATGCAAAGTCAGTGTTATCTTCAGTTCAAAACTGAGTGTCATTCACGACAGCTTCTGACATCTCAAGTTAGATATCCATTCTACAAAGTTATCTTTTACCTCTTAAAGCTAGATTCAAGTTATATCAAAAGTAGAGTTAGTAACGATAACAAGCACTAAGGTGTCTGCTGTATCTGTGTCAAGTAAAGGCTTTTCCTTGACAGGAGAAACACTAAAATGAAATAGAGCCTTTGCTTTGAGAAACCCAGACATGAGAGCAGCTATGACTGCAGGATAAAGCTGACATATCCTACTGTGGATAAGAGCTGGATGACACGGATAAGACTCGTGCATGAGCACGCAGAGAGCAGGTTTACCTACATCCGTCAGCGAGCCTACCAGTTCAGCTGCCTTTGCACGCAGCTTGCTTTAAAGCGAGATCAACAATTCAGAAGAGAAATATCCATTTTCATAGTGATCAGGTAAGGCTTTTGAAGAATAGTTATTTAACCTTTCTTCAGGTAAAGTAGATAAGAATTTATTTACTGTATTTTTTTTAAAGGGCTATGAAGACAAACAGTAAATCTTCCAGATAAAATGGCAAATAATCAATTACATAAAGAACAGAACATTATACTTGGACAAATATGCTGATTACCTCTTTCTTAAAAAGAAAAAAAAGAAAAAGAACAGAATCCTTTGTGCCTCCTTAGCCCTCCGTAATACACAGTAGGATTCCAGTATGACACAGTCCTGCATAAATGTGGAAGATCCAGGATGGTCCAGATTCCCTGGATTTTATTCTGATGCATGGATTTCCCTTACACCATGAACGCTGGGAATCACATGGGTTTAGGGAATATCAAGCTGATTATTCCTACATATCTGGTCTGTGTATGTGCAAGAAAAGCCTTTGTCCAGGATGCTCTAGTCCAGGAGTCAAGAAGCCCAGGCTACAAGATACATGCTGCCTCTGAACATGTTTTTACTCTTTAATTATTGTAAGCTATTTTCTAACAATATTCTGTCAGCCAAACTCTGTACTACTACACAATTGATGTAAAACAAAACAAAAGGAAAATTAGAAAATGTTTTGTTTTAAATTAAAAAAAAACTTGATTAGTAAATCATACTATAGCAAAAATAGTTAAGACTAGATGACTTCATATTTTGCTATATATCTTGGAATCTTCTTGGAAGTTGTATATTTTGGAGGGCCTTCTGTGCTCCAGAGTTATATTTGAAGTTAATAAACTTTCCAAGATTATATTAAATACTGCCCAGAATTTTACATGAATGCCCGAACACCCTCTGGAATTCATATATCTCAAGTATACCATAAAAAAAGCATGACTATGAGGAATAATAATGCATGTGATAATGACAGCAAGTCTTCAAAATCTAAAACATAAAAAACTGTTATGCAACATTTGAAACAAACTTTGAAAGAGAGTCCTATTTTAAAGTTCTTACACTAATTAAAAACACCCTTAAAGCCTGTCTTATTGGCAATATAAAAAATTTTTACACATTTTTTAAAGCAAAAAACATTATTCCCGTCACTGTCAACACGAAGCACTCTTACACCTTCATGTTACAAAGTATAAGAGGAGAAAATGAGAATATTAACATAGCTCTTGAAGGCATGAATGAGAATTTAGATATGCAACATAGCACAAATACACTTACAAATTTGTTTTCTGGAAATTTGAATCTCAGGCATATCATCACTTCCTAAAAATAAATTTTCTCTGTAATGTACCAGTTCTATAACACACAAATGAAATTTGTGTTTTACTGATAAAGAAACTGAATTTAAAGCCCTGAATCTATGAATAGCTGCATATATCCTAATTTTCCATGTGAGTAGTTCCATTCAATGTATGTCTTCCTTGAAGCATAGAGCAGAAAAGACCTCAGATTTGACTGTTATCATTCTGGACCCTTTATGCTTCTTTCTCTTAATTATTTTCCCTTTCAACCACTGCTAAACATTGAGCTGATGGTTTTCAAAGAGCTTGATACGATAACCCCTGCACCTGCGCTGTGCAATAACCTGGTTATGGTTCAGCAATCCAATGGTGATGTGTAACCTGCTCTGGCTTAAGCTCTGTGGAAACGTCAGGGAAAGGCTGGCAGATCCGACTGGTGAATGTGTAACAAGCAACAGCCCCGAGACTGGGGAGGTTTCTGTGAAATTTGCAGCTTTTAGCTGAGAACCAGTACGAAGGAAGCAGGTTGTGATAAAATAATCCCAAGGCAACCCAAAACTAAAGGTGAAAACCATGTTTGCATCCTTCCATCTTTAGGAAATGTTACACTCCTTATGGGAAAGATCTCAAGGTACTGGTGGGTCATCATAAATTGAGGAAGATGGCAACAGGTTACTGCAGGACTTACTGCAGCAAAGGAAGAGTAAGGATAACACTTAAGAAAATACACCAGGAAGGCATTTATACCTAATCTTGGCAGAAATATAAATAAGGCTATTTTGTTAACTTGGTTAACTTGGACAATTAGACCGTTAAAATGTTATTCTTGTATATCCTTTGCTCTACATACATAGCATGTTCCCTGTTTGTCAGTAATGAGATTTTGGTAGTAACATATTATTAGCTAATTGAGTAGCAGTATTAAAAGAGGAAATGGATGAAATATAGATCTGTTTGTTTGTGGAGAAAATTACAGGGAAAAAAAAAGGTGTTTATCAGCAAATATATATGACTCAGTGCTCTCTAGCAGTATGTGTGTTTACATGGAGGAAGAGGAAATTTTAAACCATCAGTGCCTGATGAGAAACCAGGATGTAATATGACCCACTATTCCTCCCAGATTCCAACACCAAAGTGATAAAAAAGAAAGAAGAGCTGGAAGACATGATGGCTGTATAACAAAGTCAGTGTGTATTACAATCAACCTCACAATCATTAAGTCCTATATGCTTAATTTAAGACTAAACTAATTGCTAGAGATCAAAATAATAGACTAACGTACTCTGAAGCTATACACAGCTGTTAGTTAACGAAGTACAAGCTAGAACTCAGAGAGGTTGCTACTCTAAAACTTCATTTTATACATATATAGCACATATATATATATATATAATTGCCATTTATACGGTGAAAATAATTAATGCAATACTTTGGTATTTAAATTTTTTAACCGTTATGCTTGTATTTAGATACCTTGCCTCCTTGGACTTTGTAGCTACTTTCATTTCATTTTAAATGCATAACACTTGAAAAGTGGTAATAATTCCAGAATGTGACTTTCTTCCTTTTGATTCCTATTAAGATTATTTTGATAATAATGGATTTGAACTAGTGAAATATTAAGTTAAACAATGTCAAGTTGTAGGACTATATGATGCAATAAAACCAAAGCTGACTGTGCACTACAGACAACTTTCACTGTGGTAAAGTGGCAATGAAAGTCAGTGTTAATAAATGCAAAGTAGTACATGGGGGTAGAAATAAACTTAGTTATATATATGCAGTTAAGAGCCCTACTGTTATAGCTGTTAACATTCAAGAAACAGGTACAAGAATTACTACCAATAGTTCTCTGAAAACCGTCAGCTCAGTGCTCAGCATCAGTGGGAAGGAGCAGGTTATTAGGAAGTATTACAAAAGGACCAGAGAAGAAAATGGAAATGGTTATTATGCTTTTATATAAATCAGGAGGGATCCTGTTGGCTTTCCAGTCACCTTATCTCATAGAAGATACATTACAAGTAGGAAAGAAAAAGGTAACAAGGATAATCCGTGTTGCAGAGAGCTTTCCCTAAATGGAGACAGCAAGGATACGGCAGGTAGGAAAACGGGACCTCCAATTGTACAAGATCTAGGATTGAGAAATGGCCCATTGAGCGGGTTGGCCGTGATCGGGATGGGGATGTCACCCCTGGCCAGCACAGGCCGTCCCGCGCGCCCCGGCCCGTTCCTGCCCTCAGAACCCGCTGCAAACTGCTCCCTTGGCTCATCCTGGCCCGCACAGGCCGTCCCGTGCGCCCCGGCCCGTTCCTGCCCTCAGAACCCGCTGCAAACTGCTCCCTTGGCTCATCCTGGCCCGCACAGGCCGTCCCGTGCGCCCCGGCCCGTTCCTGCCCTCAGAACCCGCTGCAAACTGCTCCCTTGGCTCATCCCTGGGCTGGCGTCCTCACCGATGTCCCAAGCAGACCCCATCCTGCTCTGCGGGATGCTGAGGTTGCCCCTGACCACAAGCACTTCACCCCGTGGTCACCAAAACACCAAACCTCCTGCAGACAGAACATCTGCAGTTATTAACTATGATGATGCAAGCGCACTCACAGACTGAGAAAGCTGCTGGGCGCTAGATGCCAACAGGAAGATCCCATGTCCTCCTCAGCACCTGGTCCTGCCCAAGATTAGATGGATGGAGCTACAGGGACCATGAGGACACTTCCCGTGTTCCGCATTTCCAACAGCTATGGTGAAGATAATAATGCCACTCCTCTAAAGTGACAGATTCTAAATATTGCTACTTTCCACCAAGAAGTGAACAGTTTCTGAACTTCTTTACCTGCACAAATCTGATCCTGGAAGGTACTGGGAAAAACGTGAATGAAGAAGTGGAATTAGTCGGAGATCACACCATCGTTTTTCCCATCTAAGTCCTGGGGATGCTGGCCACGAGGAACATGATAATGTATCCTGAAAAACATTTAGAAGTTCCTTCTGGCATTGAGCTTCATCATAAATCAGCACAGATTTGGAGAGAGAAAGCGAGAGAGATTGAAGCCCTCAGGTTTCATTTAGCACAGTCTTTGCTCTCCCCAAATCCTTTTGCATCAGATTTAACTAGCACTGGGTTTTTCACAAACAAACAAACAAACAAAAAACCCCACCTATATTAAGTATCAATATGTTTAGAGGAACAGTATCCTGAATTCCTAAATTCCTGGGAAAAATAAACTGTATCATCTTATTGAGATGACTAGTCAGAAATAAAAATGAATATTTAACACGAATCACATTATCAGATATTATTTTTTCATCTTTACTCAGGATACAGGTTTGTTATAAATTATTCACTAAGCAATCCTAACTCATTTCATCTTATTTCCCGTGGCCCCATGCATATTTACATATACCTGTCTACACTAAATTCACATCAAAGCCTCGTACTTGTGAATGAGATTTATCACATGTACTGAAAATTGTTTTCAAGCCTAGGAATCAGTATTTGAATTTGATCTATTTATACAAGGTACTATTCATAATAAAATCCAGCTTAATCTGCATTCATCATATCTATGAAGAATGAGTATTTAAATATCCACAGTCTAATCACAGGGCTTTTTAATGAATGTAGACTGTTTACTGAGAAATGCTTTTAATGACCAACATTTATGATAAAAACACACACACAAACACATAAAAGAACCCATATAGTGCCTATTCCACAAAGTTTTATATGAAACGATGCTGGTCAAGAAGTTATTTCCTGAAGAAGCAGGCACCTCGCATAGAATACCTGAAGCATGCTCAGTACTTTTACTGCATCAGCAAAAGTGTAGCTACAGATTCTACATTTCTTAGGCTTTTAATTTTGCCTCAGGCTTCATCTTATTTCTTACCTGTATTTTCTATAAAATAAATGTTAAAAAACAAAAAAATTACACCTTTTGATGTGATTTTTTGCAAAGATCTATGGAGTTCTATGACCCATGGAGTGCTGAGATCTGTGGTGTTCATATAGGTTCATACATCTTGCACTTATGTTAAATAAAACAAAACAAAGATTTTATAGAGACAAGCTCATTACAAACAATAATTTACCTCAAAACAGGGCTTTCATGAGTGTAAGAATTTAATTTAGTGATCTTGTGAATTAGACTCATGATACCTGATTTTGAGTGAAAGAAAAAGACTTATGTTTCAGTTCAAGTAGAAACTGTAGCTAATTTAGATCAGTTTTGACACATGCAAAAATAGGATTCAGAATGATTTTTATCCTTAAAGCAAAGCTACAACTGAAGTGACTAGCACGAAAAACTGCAACAACCTTTTTACATTTGTCATTTATATGTCATTACTTCTGATGCTGCATTTAAAATATTTTTATTAATATTAATTGACCCTAATCCTACTGTTTTTATCCCATTTTTATGAATTCCAGGACATATAGATATGTATAAATTGTAAAGATTTCAGATGTATAAATCCTGATTTATACTCAAAGATTTCAGATTATAATCAGGTTTAATATCTTTGCTATTGACTTTTGAATCTCTTGTTTTCTGTTTAAAAACCTGTTAAATAGAATAGCAAGATACACAGAACATAGAAATGGTTAGGTCTATTGAACAATTCTAACATTTAAGTTTTATACATATATATAAAAGAAATATTCTGTTTACTGGGGTGTCTATTCAGTAATTCTTTAGTTTATGCAAACGCTTTCATTGGTTGAATAGACACCAAAATCCCCTTTAGTGCTATATAGAATAACAGAAATTTTATATTTCCTAGGAACTTTGTCAATACTACAAAGGCAACCAAGAATCTCTTATTAAAAATCTGAATATAGATCTGTATGTAGAATTTCATTCTAAAGGATGGACTTTGGATAGACTATGGACTTTCCTCCATGACATTACCATTCTTTAGTAGATTGAAAGAGGTTTAACAAAAATTCTAAATAATAAACAAACATCTTCGAAAAAAGGTGTTCTGGAAAAGTTCTTTGCCATTTTTAAATATACCTAATTTAAACTCCTACGCTGCCCAAATAGGGCTAGAACAAACTTTTGTTAAATCCCTATTGCTGAGATAAAAATAGTAATTAGGGTATAATATCAACTGGTCTGATCTGTACTGTGGCTTAATTCCTAGCCACAGTATCTGGTACCTCTTTTTGTCCCCTGTGGAGCTGCCTATTTATTTCCAACAATAATCAGAGTTCTTTCTGTGCTGTCTGTTCCCAGTTATTTCCACTACACTGTGCAAGCTCTCACCGTGTTGTTGGGATGGTAGTTGAGATGCAAACCACTGTCGCACAGCGGGGAAGATGTGCCGCTGCTTTGGTCACTGGGGGCACCTAATACAAACACGAACACAGAAAAACCATTGTTAATATATATAGTTCAACTGTGTGTGCATCTATGCATCCTCCATCCATTTTTGTTTTCTCTGACATTCGTATATTTTTTCAGTTCAACCCCACGCCATGAGCCAGATTCTGACCTTCAAGCCTGCAAAGTGGCCAACACTAACTTGTACTTTGAGTGGAGCCTCCTTTAGATCAAGACACTTTTCCCTGGTGTTTTGCTAAACGTGTGTTAATGTTCTGCCTGGTATGGACAAAAAAGTAAAAGGTTTTGCAATTTGGAAACACAAGGAGAGTATGAAGGAGTATGAAAATACTTCTGGTGTTCTCAATTTTATCTAGTCATGCTTTCTAAAACGTGATGTGTGAGTGAGCAAAAGAAGTAAAGACACCACCTCAACAAAAGACTGTTTAAAAATTATTTTATAACTCGGGCTGAGCACTACTAACTTAAAATTGAAGGCTAAGTAGTTGTTGCTTTATAACTTAAAAAATAAGCAATAATTTTACCCTTTTAGGAAACGGAAACAGAAGGAAAACAGGCAGGAGTAAAGCCAGAAGCCCACACATACCTAGATGCTTAAGTATACTGTGACTGGCTATAATTATGCACCCACACTTATAATTTGATATAATTAAGGGAAAGCAGCAATCTCCACAGGTTTCTCACGGGGCTAATTGACTACAAATCTGCTGGACTTACACAAAATACTAATCAGGTATATTCATTTTTAGGGACAGACACACCTCTACCAAAGCCTCTCACTGAGTTCTAAAATGAGAAGTTAAGCCCTCCAAATACAGAATCTCATTTTCATCTTTGGAAAACAAAACTCTTCCAAACCGAAATATTCTCAGATGTTGCCTGAGAAATGCCTTTAGATGCAGTGCACCTGAATGCTACATTAAACCAGTAGAACTGCGCTGGTGTAACTGCGGCCCTGACCCCTCGCGCAGGTCCAGGGCCTGGCCGGTCTGTCAGGCCGAGGTGACCACCCTGCCCTTGGTGCGGACGCCAGCACAACCCTGCAGGACGTGCAGCTCGTATTGACGCCAGCCCTGGCTGCACAACCTGCTGCCAATCAGTGCACGGGACGTTGAGGAACGCCAGGATCCACGTGTGCCCTGCGCACTGCGTGCCCTGCGCACTGCTCTGCTGCTCCACACACTGCGTGCCCCGCACACTGCGTGCCCTGCAC